TAGGCCTAAACCTATGTTTTAACTGTAAAATTAGGGGGTCATCTCATACGCCCAAAAATACGGTAACAAGATCAGATTAGTATTTCCTAAGATCAATGAGACCTCTGTGCCTTTCCGTTAATGTTAGAAGTTTTCAAATTATTGCCTCTACGTTCATGAAATCCCTGGGGGCTTCTGGGACTGGTCTTTATCTTTGGCTATTTTCTATCCCCTTCTGCTATAAGGAATGTAGTTTGATTCGGAAGGGCTGAGATAAATTAAAAGAAATAAAATACTGAAAATGACCAACTGGAATGAAATTGGGAATGTGACCTTTTCAATTCATGGTTGCTTTGGGGGCCTTTTGGTATATAAATCAAATACCAAAAATCCTCAATTATCTGAGAAGCCTTCTGCAAAATGTTAAGAGAGCTATCCAGGTCTACACAAATGAGGAAAGAGCCTGTTTGGTGGCTTCTAACTCATCCTTGCTTTAAGTTTTATATATTGCTCTATCTTCTTGCCACTGCCTCTGCAGAATCAACTTCTTCCCCAGAAAGACAGTGCTGGTCAACACTGAATTCCTTAGCAAAAGTTATGCATATGTGAAGAATTGCCTCTATTAATTAAAATAGGGTTCAAGTCACTTTATATATGCAGTTCTAAACATCCTTTGAGAATATAACTTTTTTACCTTCCCTGAATCAACACATTGCTTAGCATCTTGTAGATAATAAATATTGATGGGTTTAAAATAAGTTCCAAGTATTGCCTGAATTAAGGTTTTCTTATATGAAAAGCAAAACTTTGAGAAAAGTGAAATAGTACTGTAATCATCTGAATTACAAGTTGTATTGATTTATATCCTTCCTCTTTTCTCCTTTATAGGATGTAAGTTTTTAAGATATCACTCTTTAATTAGAGAAAGAAGTATGCTTCATGTTAATTTGGAGTCTGTCTATTAAAACTTTTTGCTTAAGAAAAAAAAAATCTGTGTTTAAAACTTCCATAGTTTATATTAACATGTAAATTTGCAATTAAATAAGCATGGTCAAATGTAGTGCACACATTTGAAAAAACAATGAGGGCAGACTAAAAATCTACTAGCAATTTAAGTCAAATATTACACTTAAGCTTTTTAAACCATGGATAGCCTTTTTTTGTTGTAAGTAATGTTAGCCTTTCTTTAATAGTGATCATATGAAAAACCTTTTTCTAAAAACCTTTTTTAAGTATTATTTGTGTACACTTGCAGTCAAAGAAAAGTTCCCTAAGACTGGCAGATACTGTTCCTGGAAAGTCCTTACCAGACATTTGACTTAGTGTAATTGGAAAAAGTTCTATTGGAAATGCCTTAATATAGAATGTTTGTTTTGTCTTATTGAGAACATGGTAGTTTTTTTCTTTTTCCAAATGTTAGTGTGTGATTCATAAAAGTCGAGTTGTTTTTTAATGTCTTAAAGAAGAAAATGAAAGTAAAACATAAAGATAGTTACTCTAAATGAATTGTTTATACATTCGTCACTAGAAAACTATTTTTAGTTGAATAGTAGTTTCTGTCACGGTATAACCTGCTGTGATTTTGAATATTGCTCTTAAGACTGTATTTAGTGACCACTAGGTTTTAATTGCTCAGAAATTTCAGAGAATGTAAGGAAGTTTTGGTTAAGCCTAGGAAATACCCATTCTTGCTTTCCTTAAAATTGGCATCAGTGATTACTTAATGAAAGTAGAATACTTTGAAAACACGTTCTTTAAAGTAGAGCTATTACTAAAATACTATAATAACTAGTATGTAAGTAATAGCTGCTTTTTTTGTTGTAGAAACTCTGTGGTAAGAGGAAAATTGCAAAATCCTTAAGAAAAATATAGTATAAAAAAATCACCAGCCAATGGAAGATTTTTAAACAATGGAATGTGGCTGAGAAATAAAAAGACATGTGTAGGTTTGACATAGTTATATTTATTTAAATTCCTTGTTTCCTAGGACTTTGCAGATTTGGTTGTTTTCTCTCTTTTGACAAACTAATTATTTTTTAAAATATCATTTGTATACCTCTAAAGTTTGCAACTAGCTTCTCTTTTTATAATGGTATGCCAAACTAATTTTAATGCAACAGAAAGCTTATAGATTTGAGTTCTGCAATGTCAGGAAACAAACATATGTGTACTAATTTCTAAATTACTAGCTGGACTTCTAAATGTTCGTGTTTTTCATATAGCAAAGGCAATCCATAAAAAGCAATTGTATTGTTGATGTTTCACTGAACATTTGCATTGTTTAGTACTGTTTGTCTCTGCATTATTCAATATTATTATATGCTGTAATCTCTAGACCAGCTGAGAGCTACCAGCAAGCATAGACTTCTAAGAAGGAGGCAAAGTAAGCAATTGGCAATGAAGCTGCTATAAAATTTTGTTGACAGTATATGCAAAATACCTTTTGAAAATTGTACATAATAAATGGGAAAGTAGGTCACACTTCACTTTTTATAAAGTCCTTTCTACACTTATCTTTCAAAAGTTTACTTATACTTGGTGAACAAAGTAGGCATTTAAAATGGTGTGGTGTGGAAATAATTTTAAAATAACAGTTTAAATAATTAAACACTTTCATATTTCATTTTTTGTAAATGTTAGGAATTTTTTAAAAGCCTATTACAACTAAATATACTTCTGGTCATTTATAATGGAAGGAGCTATATGACTAAGAGTCATGAATGATAGATACCATGGTTTTTTATTCTGACCAAACTTTATGCCAAATTTTAGTCAGCAAATAAACTATTTAGAATTTGCTGACTACCTAACTGTTAACTTATTTTAATAAGCAAGGACAAGTTTAGCCAACAATTTTTGAACATAGAAAAGAGGTAAAGAACATGGCTCTGCAATCCAAAAAAAGAGGAAAAGCCTAGGTAATTGAAAGAGTTTGTTTTTTTGTAAATTTGCAATTGAAATACTAATTTGAAAGGAGGCTGGGAGTATGGGCTGCCTCAAATATTAACTTTGAAATTAAAGATGAGATTTAAGCCCCGCCGAGGTGGCTCAGTGGTTGAGCATTGACCTATGGGAATCAATTCACAGTTTGGTCCCTGGTGCAGGACATGCAAGAGGCAGGTGATCAGTGTTGTCTGTCATCATTGATGTTTCTATCTCTTTCCCCCCCTCTTCCTCCCTCTCTAAAAATCAATAAAAATATATTTTAAAAAGAATTACGATTTAAGTTATTAATTATTTATTGTTCATTTACTATGGATAAGATAAAACCCAGGGAGTCTTAAGGGAGTCTTAAGAATTTCGGATGATATGATTGTTGTGCTGAACATTGAATGTAGTTCTGAGTGTTGTCATATTTGGGAGTAAGAATATTTTAAAAATAGATTTTACAGTTCTTTTGATTTAATCAAAGGGAATATGCAAGTTCAGTAGAGAAAGCTCTTCAGTATTATTTCTTAGATCTATATTGTTTTCTCATTCTGACCTTGGGGAAATGGCAGAACAACACCATAGCACTGTATATGACTTAGCTCAACTACTCTATACTGTGACCTATGACCTAATACATCATTTCTAAGTCCTTAATGATAATCACAGTCATAAAACTATACTTACTGACCTTTCACGAGATATTCATATCTGTCATCTCACTTAAGCCTTTTAATTAGTTTTTCTATCAAAAACCACAACACTGACTTATATATACACAAATTATAACATAAAAATGGTATATATGTATGCTTCCAGATTATTTACAATTGATGGCTTTTATATCTCCTACTATGTGTTAGGCTCTCTGGTATGCGATTTCCATATATTATCTCATTTACTCACCCCACTAACATAAAATAGGTAACTGTATTTCCATAATAATGAGACCTCACTAGAGAGGTAGGAAATGGACATTTGAGGGTAGTAAGGAAGATACTGGTCTAGGTGGAGAGACAGTGATACTCTAAGATGGTTTTTTATGTGATCAGAGTGGTCAGGAAAGCTAATTCTGTGTAGGACTTGTGCTGTTTACTGAGAGAGGAAACAGAACAGAAGAATGGAGATTGTGTAAATGCTGATGAGTTCACTTTAGACATGAATTTAAGGAAGGAAAGCAGATTTTATAGAATGTGTGTTTTAAACAATGGCATGTGTTTTTCATATAGAAGAGGCAATCCATAAAGAGCAATTGTATTGTTGGTGTTTCACTGAACATTTGCATTACTATATGAAAAACACAGTCAACAGTGGTAAGATTTTTGTTTTTGTTTTGTTTTTTTGCCTTGAATCTTATAGACACTTGTTAGGCATTTTTTTTTTAAATGTTAATAACATTTCAACATTGATTGTTGATTGTGTTTGTGAAGAAATATAATGAGGTGTTAATTTCTTGAATAATTAGATAAAATTTGGGAGGATTTCATGGTTTGTGAACATAGCTACTATGCCTGTGTAGGTAAAATAAATAAATTTATATATCAAAAATATTTTTTAATTTTAAAGAGAGGAAGGAGAGGGAGAAAGAGAGAAAAATATCAATGATGATAATCAACTGGCTGCAATCCAGGCATGTTCCCAACTGGGAATTGATCTGTGACCTCCTGGTTCATAGGTTGATGCTCAACCACTGCTCTGCACTGGCTGAGTGGTAAACTTTTAAAAAAAATATATTCTATTGATTTTTTACAGAGAGGAAGGGAGAGGAAAAGAGTTAGAAACATCAATGAGAGAGAAACATCGATTGGTTGCCTCCTGCACACCCCCTACTGGGGATGTGCCTGCAAACAAGGCACATGCCCTTGACTGGAATCGAACCTGGGACCTTTCAGTCCACAGACCAATGCTCTATCCACTGAGCCAAGCTAGTTTTGGCTCTCTTAAACTTTTAAGTTATTTAATATACAAGCCAAACTTCTTTTTTGTAAGAAAAAAAATAGAGTATAGAAATTAAAACAAAGGGGAAAAAAGCATTAGTCCTACTAGGTTGATTATATTTTGATTTTTTCCCCCCTGTGTGTTGTTTCTTTCAGAAATATGGCTATACACACCTTTCTGCAGGAGAACTTCTTCGTGATGAAAGGAAAAACCCAGATTCACAGTATGGTGAACTCATTGAAAAGTACATTAAAGATGGAAAGATCGTGCCAGTTGAGATAACCATCAGTTTGTTAAAGAGGGTAAGGAATGTGAATGCCAACCAACTTAAATAAGCAAGGAAATGATAAATTAAATCTGCCTTTTCTTTGAGTAATGAAAATATTCAGAGTATTGAATTTTGTTGTTGTTAATTCTCACTCGAGGATATTTTCCCCCCATTTACTTTTAGAGAGTGTGGAAGGGAAGGAGAAAAAGAGGAGAGAGGGGGGAGAGAGAGAGAGAGAGAGAGAGAGAGAGAGAGAGAGAGAGAGAGAGAGAGAGAGAGAGAGAGAGAGGGAGGGAGAGAGAGAGAGATATCATTGGGAGAGAGACACATAGATTGGCTGCCTCCCACATGTGCCCCTCTTGGGTAAAGTTTCTGAATGTCCCAGATAGTTAGTGCTTGCTTCTTTGTTTTATCATAGCATCCTTTTATACCTCATCATTGAACTTAGCACATTTAATTACATTTTGTTATCCACTGAACTTTGAGCTCCCCTGGGTCTATGACCTTGCTTTTCATGTTCCCTGATACTTGGCCTCAAATGTGTCTTGAGTGAATATATCGATAATATCGATGTACCATAATTGGGGCAGAAATGCTATAATAGGAGTCCAAAAGAATTGTGTGTGTGATGAATATTGGAGAAGCTAATTCAGGCGTCTTCAGACTACGGCCCTCGGGCCACATGCGGCCCGCAGAGGAGTCTGATCTGGCCCGCCAGGTTTTTTGGGCAGTGAGCGCAGCCGAGGTGTTACAGTAGGAATTAGTAGTTCATATAGTCCGGCCCTCCAGCTCTCTGAGGGACCGTGATCTGGCCCCCACTTTAAAAAGTTTGAGGACCCCTGATAGATGCTGGGATAAAGCCAACACTCAGATAAAGGAATCTGGGGTCTTGACAATGTGAGCACTTATGGGACTAGATATTGGTTTGCTTTGGAAAAGAAGCTCCTCGGGAGTTTGACCAAATCATGCATCTGAGCTTATTATCTTGTGGGGATTAGTAGTGGTAAGGATTTGGAGATCACAGATCTGTATCTCCCATTCACATATCCACATTCTCCTATCCAAATTCAGACTTTGGAAGAGGTTGGTGTGGTGTTCTGCTGTCTCTCTGAATGTATTTTTTTTTTAATTTTTTATTTTTTTTTTGCTACCTTTGTTTCGGGGTAGCCAGTGAGATTTAGGTTTAATTAGTTGCAGTTTAAAAAAAGAGAGAATATTAACTCCTACACTAATCATTAATGCTAGCAGTCTCTATATTTTTCCAAGGATTTTTGCAATTGGACTTGAATTATTGCAGAGAATCTGAGTGCCTTTAGATGCAGCATACTTGTCACCACAGCAAAATGACTTGGGAAGTGAAAGGGGAAGGTTGGATAGAGTCTCTAGTGGCTGAAGCAGATACTGATTAATACTTATTTTTTTCTTTATGCTGTGAGTGTGTATGTGAAAATAATACATGCTTACTGTAGAACATTTAGAAACTACACACAAATTGTATGTGAATGTGCATAAGATGGGGGAAGGATACATACCCAAAACTCCGCTATCTCGAGGCAACCATGTTAATACTGATTGGATCATTTTCTTTTAAATACATACATATATATATATATATATATATATATATATATATATATTTCCATTGATTTTTTCTTGAGAGAAAGGAAGGGAGAAGCAGAGAGAGAGAAACATTCATGTGAGAGGGAAACATCAGTTGGCTGCCTCCTGCACATCCCTGTACTGAGGATCGAGCCTGCAACATGGGCATGTGCCCTGACCTGGAATCAGACCAGCCACCTTCTGGTACATGGCATGACCAACTGAACCACACTAGCGAGGGCGGATCATTTTCTTTAAGTCTTTTTTTGTCTGTGCATCCTTCATGCTTTATTTGTGATTTAAGGAAAAATAAAAGAAACACCAATATATCCACTACCCTCCTTAAGAAATTGTTAATGTAGTATTGACTCTAAAGTTTCTTTTTCTTTTAGGAAATGGATCAGATAATGGCTTCCAATGCTCAGAAGAATAAATTCTTGATTGATGGGTTTCCAAGAAATGAAGACAACCTTCAAGGTTGGAATAAGACCATGGATGGGAAGGCAGATGTATCTTTTGTTCTGTTTTTTGATTGTGATAATGAGGTAATGAACATCTTCATCTGCCCATATGGGCTTTAAACAACTTGATTCAATGATTAGAAAATGCAGTCACTGTTTACTTATATTACATTTCATATTGGCAGTAGTATTTTTTTGAATTGGAACATTGGATGGACAGAATAGTACTGTCTTGCTATTGGAGTGCTAAACACTTTTTGGCATCAGCAACCTTGTGGGCCTAAAATTTGCTTTATTTTTAAAATAAAGGATTTTGTTTTGCTTTGTTTTTAAGTAAAAATTGACTTGTATAATAATGTTAAGTAATGAAGCTGCCCTATTACTTCTGAGGTATGCACTGTTATCAGAGAGTGTATCTTGCCTTAGGATGGCTATTTATTGGAAAAGAGACACACATTTCTGAGAATTTGGGAAAACTTTCTATTTTAAGGCAACATTTAAGATAGCCTGATTTGTGTTCATAGTGTAAAATGATCTTGGAAAAAAAGCAGGAAAGCATTCTTTTTCTCTCTGGCACTTCCAATAGAATATTTAGACATACCTTTGACTAACTGAGTTAATTTCTTGGACTCATTTAATTAAAAGGCCTGGCTGTTTCACACCTGTAAACTCCATTAAATTAATGTCAACCGCCTGAAAGAATAAGAATCTGAAGTATTACTTTGAAGGAAGTTGGCTGGTTGAATTGCAAATGTGCTCTGGTAGAGGGACTTGCTAAAGCCTTTTAGTTGTTTTAAAATGTAACTCTCTTCTACCAACCCCCAAAAATATGTTTTCACTTATTCTTCAAAGTTAACTTTAGAATGTTACCACAGCTTTATAACTAAGGAATGTTTATTCATGATTAACAAGGGATACTTTATTCAAATGATGTTGATTCTTCAATATTAGGAGTATTTATGGAATTACTGAAAAGTAAGCAAAAATAGAACAAAGTCAGAGGCATATAATTCATACCTAATAAGTTAATAATGTATCCTAGATGGAATCATACACAGATAGATCTTCTTTTTATTGCGGTTTAAAAAAAAAAATCCACAGGAAAAACTGAGTCATGAATGAATCTTATTATGTTCTGTACTTACTTTTAATCTAGTTTGTATAAATTGAACCACATGTTTAAATTTAAAGGACTTTACATGTTGATTAATGAATTAGACACATTCAGTTTAATGCAGGTGTTTTGTTTTTTAACTCTTCAAACTTTATTCTCTTTTCAGGTTAAAAGAATGACAAATTCATATCTTTCTTTTTTATAATAACTTTGTATTTATTTCTCTTTTTAGATCTGTATTGAACGATGTCTTGAGAGGGGAAAGAGTAGTGGTAGGAGTGATGACAACAGAGAGAGCTTGGAAAAGAGGTACTTTGCAGTTTTTATACAATAAGCCACCTCATTCTCAGTTTGGAACTTGAATAGCAGGTTAAATACTTGCCTCATTTTGGTTCAGAAAAAGAAAATGTCATGCCTACCTATGTGAAATGGCTTATCTAAGAAGATGCTAAAGCATCTTCAGTTGGGTCAGATCCAGTGTTCTCCTCTGAGCTATCCTATAACATGGAGGAGAATGGAGGAATACTTAGAACTTTGCAATATTTGCCTTTTTTTTCCCTTTTAGAATTCAAACCTATCTTCAGTCAACAAAGCCAGTTATTGACTTATATGAAGAAATGGGAAAAGTAAAGAAAATAGATGCTTCTAAATCCGTTGATGAAGTGAGTATCCTGATCCTGCCTTAAAAAAAAAAAAAAAAAGTCAAGAGAAAATGTGATGGAGAGCATAGGCAGGAGGAAAAAAAAATAGTATGACAGAACAGTTTTCTTTTCAAGACACTGGAGAGTAAATGAAAAATTAGGTTTTTTCTCCTTTTTGAATAGAGTCTAAAATGGGTTTTACAACTTCAGAGTTATTCTTCATGGAAGCGGGTGATTTATTAATTCCAAACTTCATTTCTCAAACACTGGAAAATTGACATTTGAGACTATGATTTGGACCATGAGCATTAAAAAAAAATCTATAACACGAATTGCAGATTATCTAGCTCAGGAGCCACAGGCTGCCTTCATTTCTTCTGTCACAGAGCACAGAGCTCCAGCGGGCAGCAGGAGCTGGGAAAGTGGGGATAAATGGTAATGGTCAGAAATTTGAGTTGGGGTGGTTAACACACAATACAGTGTACAGATGATGTGTTGTAAAATTATGCACCTAGACCTGTATAATTTTGTTAACCGTGTCATCCCAATAAATTTAATAAAAAAATAAAAACATGTAGTTCCAGAGGTGCATGGTGTCCGTGGCTAGTATTGCTCTCTTCCTTCACAAGTCAGCTGTCTTCTCTCAACTGTGGTTTGAAAGCCCTCATTGCCCAGCAACTATTTCTAGTGCTTTTTAATTCACCAAGTCTTCCCCTTGGACCTTTCTTTGTTATTGTATAGTCATTTTTTAATTTTTAAAAAATCTATTGCCACTTTCTATAGTGGTGAGGTAATATATCAGAAAACTTCAGTGTTTTAGAATCAGAACTAGGAAGATAAGCCACTTCCATTTTATCAATTTTTGGTAGTCAATTAACAAGTTTTATTTTGTCCTAAAATTGATTGCAACATATGTATTATTTTTTAAATATATTTTTATTGATTTCAGAGAGAGGAAGAGAGAGGGAGAGAGAGAGAGAAACATCAATGATAAGAGAGAATCATCAACCATCTGCCTCCTACACACCCCACAATGGGGATTGAGCCTGCAACCCAGGCATGTGCCTCGACCTGGAATTAAACTCAGGACCCTTCAGTCTGCAGGCTGATGCTCTATCCACTGAGCAAAACTGGCCAAGGCTTATATGTATTATTTATGATATTATATTACTGTTTAAAGTAAAATAAATAAAACTAAGAAATCATAATGTGTTTTTTAATTATCTACTTTGGAAATTATACATTTGTTATACTTTTAAGCCATATGGTATTTTAACAATATCTTCTTTTAAAATTACTATCTTTTTCCTTTGCAGGTTTTCGATGAAGTTGTGAAGATTTTTGACAAAGAAGGCTAACTAAACCGGAAAGCATCGTTGAAATCATGCTTGAATATTGCTTTGATAGCTGCTATCACAATCCCTTTTTAAGGCAATTTTAATCTTTCATAATTACATCATAATTAGTGGCCAGAAAGTATATACAGTAGTAAGACAAATTAAATTTTTATCTTCAATTTTTTTTTTTTTTTTGTCATAGGAGTAGACAGTGAATTCGGGTCTAACTTTGTCTTAGCTATGGTGCTCACAAAACAAGGAAGGGCATTAGCTAGCTCGTTGTTTTTATTCGATAAGGATATTCCTTTTTTAGTTTGTGCCTTCTGTGAGCAAAACTTTTTAGTATGTGTATATCCCTTTAGTGATTGCAACATGTAAGGATTAGGGATTCCTCACCTCCTCTTTTTCTTGCAGGTTTTAAATTTCCAACCTGCTAAGTGAATTTGTGGACCAAATTGCAAAGGAACTGTTTGTGTAGTTAGTTCTTGCGCAATGTGTTTGGTAAACAAACTCATAAGATGAATTGCTAGAAGTGTTTTAGTATTTATCCAATAACTGACTATATTCTATAGAAAGGTTAAAAAAAAAAAAACTTAGCCGTGTTTTAGTTTTACTACAACTTGTACAAAGTTGTATGACAGGGCATAGTCTGCTTCCAGGGATTAGGATGAGGGTACTGGGGGTTCAGAGCCTGGCAGAAGTGTCAACTTTATTCTGACATAAATCTGAGGATAAGGGGCAAGGGTCATATCTAATGACATGTGTTCCTTATGCTCTATTATATAGTGTTACTAATGATTAAATTGATCTCAAAATTCCTAGCAGTAAAACCTTGAAATGCATGTACTAGATTTATGGTAAAATGGTTGTTTTTTGTTGTTGTTGTTAGTTTGTTTCTTTTCTAGACTAAATTCAAGGTTAGTATAAAGTAGAAGAAATTAATGGTTAAATTTCCCATTTGTATTTTATTTCCTTGAATATTTTTTCATAGTTATTTGTTTAAGAAGATTTAAAAATCACTGCACTTTGGTCAGAAAAATAATAAATATATCTTATAAATGTTTGATTTCCTTCCTGGCTACTTTTATTTAGTACTTTATTCAGTAAATTATTTTTTGGCATCATGTTTAAGCATGGAAAGGTACAGAATAAAAAAGAAGGCTGTAGAGTCCAAAGGAATGTTTCCTTAAATCTATTCTTCCTTTAAAAATCTTTGAGAAATTCATTTTCTCCATTTTTTTTTCTGTCATCACCAATACAAAGCGGTATCAAAGTTCTTATTATGAGACTTATTAAAATGTTTCTCATCTTCAGCATCTTTTTGACTTTGTATAATTAACATAATTAAAATTTGACTTTGTATAATTGTTAATATAATTAAATTTTTATATTTAAAGCCATTGGAAATAGTGAGGACAATTTGTGGATATTCTTCTACAGGGATGGGCAAAATAAGTTTCAAGTTCATATGGAAAGAGACATGCACATTATGATTATTACAACAGCTTTGTTAACTGTTTCATGTACTTACAACTGTAAACCTACTTTTGTCCACCACTCCTGTCTTGTAATAGATTTATTTATTTCTATGTGTATTATGAAATTCACTTATTGAAGATGAACTTGCAACATTCTTGCCATTAAAACAACCAAGTATCCATAAGTACTATAACATATTAGCCACCAAAATTTGTATTGACATCTTGGTTTCTTGGAAGAGGTTGCAATGAGTTATTATCTAGTGATTCCATCCAGCCAGGACAGAGGGCTTTTATGGGTAATTTAATAAAAATGGCTGTAGTATGAAGCAAGAGTGAAGACTTAAGATTTTGAATGTGTTCCTTTTCACATAAGTGAAGAAATCTATCAGATGGGGATCTAAATATTTATGTTGGTGTGAAAGTAACCTTAAACGTGTGGATTTTAAGGAGACTGCTGAGACTGCTTCCCTTCATCAAATATATTTCTGTGACATTCGAGAACAAAAACCAAGAAACATGATAATTACTAAACTATGAAGCTTTTTTTTTGTTTGTTTGCTTAAGTAGAAAAACACGTCAGCAATATTGAGTTTAGTAGCTGATTAAGATACATCTAAATTCACTAGTTAGGTCCTATTTCCATTTGTTAAAGACACAGTCACCAAGAAGTTTTTGACTTTTCTTGAAAGAATCCAGTGGAAGCCTTGCTATAAAAAAAAATTAACATTACTTCCATTCAGTGATTTTGGATATATATGGATTATTTAGTAAATAATCCCAATAAATATTGTGCTGTGGCTTTTGTTGTTTGCTGGTTCAGATTTCTGTTCTCACAAGCATATGGGAGACTTAACATGTGCATCCTCACATAGCAAAAGTAGAGCTGAGGATCCAGGAGAGTTTTCTGCTCTGTGTATTATGTTTGTGCATCTTAAATTAAGCAGAAAGCATTGCTATCCCATTTCTTCAAGAAGTAATCTGGGTTGAGGCACAAGAAGCCTATTGCATTGCCAGCCTGCAGCATTGATTCCTTGTCTCTTTGAGGGGAAAATTGGTAGCAGGCAAGCAGTTTGTTTCGGGATGCGGGTTTTTTTGTGGTTTGTGGCTTTGTCCATGTAATTTAAGTGGATGTCTGACATTTCAGTTGTCCCGGAGGTTTGGTCTTTTCTCTTCAAACACACATTAATTGCACAAGCCATAGTACTATAAGCACGCTCTCTGCCTTCCAAGAATTTTGTGTGTGTGTGTGTGTGTGTGTGTGTGTGTGTGAGAAAAGGTAGAAATTTATTGAAAAACAAGTATAGATTCCTTCGTGGGGAGAGGGAGGAGTCCCATAGAGCGGACTCCCAAGTAGGGAGGGGGAAAAGGTTCCCAGAATTTTCTTTCTAATACTAACACAGATGCGGATAGACCTTTTAGCTCTCTTGGTTGGCTGGCATATAGTCTGCTGCACTTCTCCCTAGCCTACGTACATACTTCTGCTAAATTCAGTACTCTTTCATTCTAAGTATTTTTTTTTTAAATGAAAGAAAGGAAGCTAATTTATTATGCACCAAAGGAAAAAGGTAATAACGGTCTTAATCTTCTCCCCCCCCCCCCCCCTTTTTTTTTTTTGTCATTCTGGGCTCCAGTGTAAGTACTCTCTTGGATCCAGGGCTGCTTTCCTTGGAATGGGTATGGTTATTGTGACTGTGATGTTCTGGACCTTGATCAAGTTCTACAGTCACCATTTTTCCTGTCGAGGGCTGAAGAGAACAGTTGAATTTCTGGCTCCCACCCTATACCCTACGTCACCCATACGGACTATGGTCTGTCTGCTCAGACTTGTATGGGATCCCTGCGCGCTTCACCCCCTCGCTCCCCCGCCCCATTCGTTAGAGCAGAACCTGCTTCTTTTGGGTCCCTCTTTTCCAAAGAGCGCTCTCTCTCTCTCCCTCTCTCTCTCTCTCTCCCCCTCTCTCTCTCTCTCTCTCTCTCTCTCTCTCTCTCTCTCTCTTTCTCTCTCTCTCTTTTTTTTTTTTTTTCCTCTCTCATTACTGCCCTCATAAGACCCTGACATAAGAGAAAAGGGCTTAATTATTTTGTACTGTTTAGGGAGATAGGGTTCCTGATCAATATTTCCCCAGGTCAGGTTCTTTCAGCCACAAAATTGTTTTCTGTTTATATTGCATTTTCAAGTAACTATGCAGCTTCCTAACTGGCCTTTAATGTCCCCATCAACCAGAGGAAAAGCATCTGCAGGGGTGCCTCTACATTCTAGCCTAAAGGTAGATAATTGAAGCAAACTTTAAGGTCTTCTGCACAGTGGAATGAAGCCGTTAAGCAGCATGCCATATACATAGCAGATGCATTCTCATTTGGTTGAGTAACCACCTTTAAAAAGAGAAAGTAAAATTCATATAAAGCCATGTGTGTGAACTTTAGGAATGTTCAATGTTAGAAGGCTTCTTGGAAAAAATACACTCTTAATAGCTGCTTATAGAATATTGGGCATGGGAATTGATAACAAACTCAAGATGGACTTTCAAGAAAAGCCCAGGATCGAATAGGTTTCCTTCCTGGTTTGTACAATAAAACCCTGCAGCCCTCACTTACCTGGTGCCGAGGTCTCCCAGAGCCAGAGGGAAAGACACCGAGTTAGTTCAGCAGTTAGTACTTGGAAGCACAAAGCTGTTGTGCATGGCTCATGCTTGGTTTATTGTTTTTATTCAGTGAGTCCTCGCTTAACAACTCTAAGTGAAATGTCTTATAACTAAGTGACATTGAGTCATTATTAGAGGAGCTGCTATAGAGGAGCATTCTCACAAGTGGCTCCAAAGCAGCTTTGAGAACTTGGCTCAAGTATCTGATTGTGATGAGGCTGCATCACAATGGCCTGTCAAAGTGAAAATGCTTTTTAATTGCCAGATAACGTACACAGTAGGCACTACCATTATTCTATCCTCAACTGGGATAGTGGTCAAGATAGGCACATTATTTGAGGGGAGGGAGGAAGGGAGAGGGTGCTAGAGTTTTATAGCTAACTTTTAGATTGGCTCAAAATAGTCCTACATTGAAATAACCAAGTTAAAACAGCTGCATCAAAATCCCTCTTATTTATATGTTTTATTTCAGAGAGGAAGGGAGAGGGATAGATAGGAACATCATTGATGAGAGAGAATCCTTGATCTGCTGCCTCTTGCACACCCCTCCTGGGGATTGAGCCCACAACCCAGGCATGTGCCCTGATCAGAGATGGAACCGAAACCTTCTGGTTCATTGGTCAACTTTAAACCACTGAGCCACACGGGCTGGGCCCCGCTTGTTTTAAATGTGTCGATGTAAAGTCTATATGTTTTCCTCTGTTTAGGTCTTAGATCTGGATCAGTGCTATTTGGGGAAAGGGTAACTACTGGGCTTGAGACTGCTGCTGCTGTGTGCTAATGGAAGATTCAGAGGTTCAGGGGATGGGCTCGGATGGGATGGGATGAGTGGGGAAGTAGAATTTGGTTCAGTCCTGTTCTACTTAATACATGTTGGCTCTTGGAAGAGCTCACTTTAATTCTACCAATATTTACTCCACCAAACACCATTCTTTACTCAAAAGTCTTCATGATCATAGGCCACATCCCATTTCTCTCCATGATTATTTTATTGCTGAAAATGAGTTTCAGGAATGTGACTCCTTAACACTATCTCCATTTGCCCTTAATATGTGGTTTGAGTAATTTTATAACTACTTCTGAGTTCACGTGGTGTATTTGACTTAAGAAAGGAGCTGTTAAATTTACAGTCATCAGCAAAATGATGATACAAGGTTATGGCCAATTGCTGAAGTGATAATAGCTAGGTGCATAGAGGAGGCATTATTACAGTCTGTAATTACATTCATGCAGGATCTGCCATCTTAATTTAGCTGACTGGTCATGTTAGCAAGTGAAATTTCAGACATGCTAACCCTTGTGACTGAGATCAGAGAGTTTTTACAGGAAATCTCCATATTCTTTAGGCAGTGTGTCTGTCACCAGAACAGGAGAGAATAGCACTAAAATGATGAAGTTACAAAAAATTGGCTGGCCATTCATTCAAAATATGTCAGAGACAGATTTATTAGGGATATGACAATGAGAAATATACAACCCTTGCCCTCAACATGCTTACTAGTTAAGCTCAAATCCAGTGGTTTCTTAAATGGATTGTGTTTCTGTATAGTGCTTTTAATGCTTTTAAGCAATCTTTTTTTTTACCAGTGTGATGTCATTTAGTTTTTCCAACAAGGAGGATTAATTAATACAGTGATTTTCATGTTTCATGAATTAATGAATTGAGGCTCAAGGCAATTGGCCAACCTGCATATTTCAGTTAAATTATATATGCCTTTATTCTAAGCAATTTTTGTTTGCTTAAATGAAAGAAAATTCTTTACAGCTAATTAGCTGTAAGTTTAAAACTAGAACCCAGGTCTCTTGGCCTTAGAGGTCTGTCTCCTGTCTCTCACAGCCCATGCTGCCTACCTGTAATAAAGCCCAATTTTAGGCGACTTCTAATACCCCACTGTGCTTCCCTAGTCACTAGCCTGTTACCCTCATTTATTTCCTCTATTGCACATGTGAAATTTGTGAAGTTGCTTTGCTTATTTATTGCTGCTTCCCTCTCTGCTATAATACATTATAAGAGCCAGGACAGCAAAAATGTCTGTCTTCATTTCTGTGTTCCAGTGCACATAGAAGGCACTCAGTAAACATTTGTTGAAAAAATAAAAACGAAAATTGTTTTTGGCTGTCACTGTAGCTACAATTTGCATCACTGAACTTTGGATCCCGATTCGGTGTGTTTACAATCTCCTTAGGATTTTGTTCTCATTCCACCTGAAGATTGAAAGCTGATAACCATAAAGTCCTGGAGGTGGGAGCCAAGATGAATTTTTGATCACATCAATCTCCCTCCACTTTCAGCACACAAGTTGTAGAAAGATTTAAAGTGTGACTATCTTGGAAAGAAAGCAGGGAAAATCAGGGACCAGAAAACAATGTTTTGGTGAAAATTACATCCAACTATCCATAGTTCAATCTAGCTGCATACTTAGTTGCCAGGCCTCTCCGTGCACACGCCTTGGTACCTCTGCCTTCCACCTCTGCCTTCTGCAGCTCTGGTGAGTCTCAGTGTGCTTTTCTCTTCCCTTCTATTGTATTTGTAGAATTTCCACTCAGCCAGCCTTCCTGTGGTTCTGGATGATGTCCGTTTTGTCTTTTAGTTTTGAAATTGTTGTGCAAGGCATCAGTTTAGGTGTTTACCTATGCTGCCATCTTTGTTTCATCCCCAGAGTAGGTTCTTAATATTTTTTATCATTACTACATTGTCTATACATTTTACTGGATATTAAAAGAAGGCATCTGTCCTCCTCAAAGCCCTCCAGATAATTAGAAAGAGAACAAGGCCTAGCACCCAGCTTTTCTTTCTCCCAGTTTCATTCCTCCACAGTCACATGCTTCTACCTTCATCATTTCTAACAAGGACTTGGAAAAACAAAGTAAGATCTTGTGATGGTCCAGGGACATTTCATTCAGTATACTGGGCATATATTTGAGACCATATTAAGAAACAAATTTTGCTTTCAGGCCCAACCCCAGAAATTCTAACTTAATTTTAAAAGTCTCCCAGGTGAATTTAAACCAGTGGTTCCCAAACTTTCAAGTGTATCTGAATCATTTGGATATGTCTTGTTAAACCTGCATTGCTGGAGTCAC